CATGAAACCACAATCTACTACGCTTGCCAGGCTCAATGGGGCACTCTTCATGAACTATATCCTTACCCAATTTTTCTAGCAAGTCATGCATCAAAATCCTATTATATTGAATAGTTATCATTGCCTTCTCAACCAGGACTTCAATACAATCTTGGGAAGCCTTGTGCTTAGAACTTAGTATTTGCATCACATAGTCCTTATCTTCACCCTTGAAGAAACACGCCATGTCTAGAAAAACTTGTTGCACTGAGTTATCTAATGCATCATAACTTTTTCGAAGTATTTTCTGTATACCTGTATAAGGTTCTCCTTCATAACCATCTAATATAGCTTGCCAACGATGTATACCTTTATTATGAAGATGGGAACCTAAAAGTGTTATAGCTAGTGGAAGGCCTTGAGCATAGGCTATTGCTCGTTTTACGAGTTCCAAATAATCATTTGGAGGTTCATTTCTTCCAAAGGCATTCAAACTGAAAAGCTCAAGAGCTTGGTTGTCATATAACTTATGGACCTCGTATATCAACTCAATTCCATAACATTTTAGCAATCCGCTATCTTGTGTAGTTATGATGACTCTACTACCCTCACCGAACCAACCAACTCCAGCCAAGTTGTCTAATTGCTCCAATTGATTCACATCATCAAGAATTAAGAGAATCCTTTTATGCCTCAGCAATTTATGTATAATAGAGATACCTTTATCAGCACTAACAATTTTCAACTTTTTGCCACCTAGAATCTCTTGAAGAAGAGTCTCCTGTAGTTGGATTAAGCCTCCATGTGGCATTGAATTTTCTCTAACATCTGCCAAGAAACAACACCCTTCAAACTTATGAGCAATTGCATTATAAACAGCTTTCGCAATTGTTGTCTTGCCTATTCCAGATGTCCCCCATATCCCAACCATTCGGCGACCATTCCCACCAGCACATAAGAGCATTTCCACAGCTCTTACACAAGAGTGAATTCCAACTGGGTACTTCGCCACATTCAAATATGTGCGGTTCAGCACTAGGACTACAATCTCTTCAACGATGTGGTTGATAAATGTAGCTTCAGACCTACCATTTAAAAAATTTGACATATTTAAGGAATAAAATGTAAACATGCAAGCACACAAAGAACACAAGGTAGTCTATTCAGCCGACTGCCCTACTCCACCGAGTTTGGTTGGATAGTCTGCTAAAGTAATGTTCCGTTTGGATGGAGAGATTTAAAAGAAGGGATTTGGATTTGAGAATAATGCTAAATTTGCTACAAAAACAAGAACGACATTAGAATGAAGGAATTTGGAATAACTAGATGTAGTGGTTTTAAAATTGATTTGAAATTGACTACATGTAAGAAATCATTTGAAATCGATTTATCTTCTTAATTTCTCTCTTGTCCAAATCTTGGCCTACATAATTTCATCTAAATCCATTAATTGGAATCCTTCCATCCAAATGGAATCTAATAGTTCTTCTTTTTTTGTTACATTGGTAGGAAAGACCCTTGGTGCCAAGCAAGGGGGAAGGGGGAGGGCCACCACTGTGGTAACCCTGCTCGACGAGCCTAATAGGTCTTTAACTACAAACAATATTGACTAGTACGGCTTTTGGAGAGACTAATATATGGGTTTTGAATCTTCTCCCTACAGCTATTGAAAAAAATCTTCTGCCTACAGTTTTCTATTTTTATCAAAACAGTACTTTTTTGAATGCGTAACAATTAAATACAACCAAAGGAAAAAGGAGAGAAAAAATTAAACTTGAAATATAGAATCAAGCCACTAAATTAACCATATATATGTATAGAGGGTAGAAATATACTCTCCCGCCTTGCAAGTATATCCTTTCAAACTTGCTGCTTCTCTAAGAGCGCTCCTCCATCTTAGCACCTTCTCCGTATTATCCTTAAATCTGCAGTTCATGTCAGCCAATGCATCACCAAAACTATTTGTTTGGTTCCGTACATGCGAAGGATCCACTTTGTAAAAAATGGGCCAAACTATTTGTTTCGTTGAGCTTTTGCATCGAAGGATCTCAACGAGTTCGTCCAAGCACCACCTAGTTTTCAGAGAATACAATGAGAGAAATCCATGACTCTTCAATTGCTTCGAGAAGGGCTGGTGAGATTTTTTCTCCTCCTATAATCTCACGATCAATGAAGGTGTAGATCCCCTTATCGGACAACGCCTTGTACAAATGATCTGTAAAATTGGTGCGTGTATCCTTACCTCTAAAACTCAAAAACACATCATATGTCCATAGATCATGAGTGAAAGAAGAAGAAGAAGAAGTAGAAGAAGAAGAATGTCCTTGTTGGTTGGCCATAGGAGCCATACTCAGATCAAAGACTAAGTTGTTGGTTTCTGACGTGCATACTTGGGACTTTTGCTCAATAAATTAATATTAAGACTGGTTTGTCTTTTTCAGTTTTTGTAAACTCAATGGGCCTCACCTTTCTTCTCCCTGCTGTGCAAGGATGTGGTCCAAATTTACCTCCGTTAGATATTTCTAAGGACACCTAACTTTGCAACAACCAACAAATCCTTCTACTACGACTCTTTGACTCAGTGGATTCATGTATTGATATAATTTATACAGGTGTTGGTGCCTAGTCCCTGTTGGTGTGTAATCCTTCAGCCGAAATCTTGGAGCTAAAGGAATTGAGCTTTACATTTCAGTTTTGTTTTAAGTAGTCTATTATTTTCCAGTTTTATTGTGCACCCTTGGATCACAGTCCAAGTGTTTTAATCTCTAGCATAGGTTTAAATGACATGTGTAAGCATCTAATAGGATGCTAGAACTTGGGCTTATTGTAAATCTGGTACAGGGAAGAATCTCTCTTCTCTCTCTCTCCCTAACGATTATAACCAAATAGTGGAGCAGACATGAATTGAATCGAAGCATTTTTTTCATTCTCCAGAGCAACGTTCTCTCAATCTCAATCTCCCTGTGATTTCTTCTCTGCTCCCAAAATATCCAAAATACACTAAAACCTAAATACTGAAAATATGACTTCTAACATGGCCTCAAAGCCAGGTTGGTCACTTTGAGCTGGGCGTGAGTCTGTGAATCGGGAAAATCTGGGTTTCGGTTGGGCTGAAATCAAGCTCATCTGAAGGTCGCGAGTTTTCTCAAATCCAATGTCTAATATGGCAGGATCGAGTACCTCTGAGCTGCGAACGCCAATCTTCAATGGCGAAAATTACGAGTTCTGGAGTATCAGGATGAAAACAATTCTGAAATCTCATGGTTTATGGGATCTAGTTGAAAATGGTCTCAATGCTTCGGAAGTAAAGAAGGGGAAGGAGATAGAAGAATCGAAGGCTACTGAGAAGGAGGAGAAGGAGATAGAAGAGACGAAGGTCACTGAGAAGTCTGCGATGGCAGAGATCTTGATGACGGATGCTCGAGCACTTGGGTTAATCCAAAGTGCTGTCTCAGATCAGTTCTTTCCCAGAATAGTGAATGAAGAGACATCTAAGGGCGCTTGGGATATTCTGAAGCGGGAATTCAGAGGCGACAAACAGGTACGAAATGTGAAACTGCAAGGCTTGCATAGAGAATTTGAATACACTCGAATGAAAGATAATGAATCCCTATCTGTATATCTAGCTCGATTGTTTGATATATTGAATCAGATGAAGAGTTATGGTGAGGAATTATCTAGGGAAAGAGTTGTCTAGAAACTATTGTTTAGTTTGCCTAAATATTACGATTCTATATGCTCTGTAATTGAACATTCCAAGGATCTTGAGATTTCTGAAATTCAAGAGGTGGTTGCCTCTCTGAAGAGCTTTGAGCTCAGATTGGAAAGACACACTAAGGAATCAACAGAGAGGGCGTTTGCTAGTCTGAATGTTGAGAAGAAAAACTCTAAGGATGGAGATTCCTAAGGAAATCAGAATGTTCAAAAAAGTTGGAAATCAAATGGAAATAAATGGGATAATAAGCCTAATTCCACAGCTCAAACAAATGGTTTGAATGATGGAAATAAAGCAGCCTGCAAACACTGTGACAAACTACATTATGGAAAATGCTGGTATGAAAGGAAGCCTAAATGCCATGGTTGTGGGAAGTTTGGGCACATGATTAGAGACTGCAATGGACACAAGAATGTGCAGAGAGTGCATTATGCAAATCAGGTTGAAGACATTGGTACTCTATTCTATGCTTGTAATGCTGTGACAGGAGTGGAAGTGAATCACTCTTGGTACATCGACAGTGGCTGCAGCAACCATATGACAGGTGATGAGAGCTTATTGACAAATATTCAAAGAGACTTGCATTCCAAGGTGAAAATGGGAACTGGAGAAACTGTGCAGGTTGCAGGAAAAGGAACACTTGTGATTGAGACTAAATTGGGCAGAAAACATATCCAAGAGGTAATGCTAGTACCTGGATTAGAGGAAAACTTACTTAGTGTGGGGCAGATGATGGAACATGGATACTATCTTGTGTTTGGAAAAGGCATGGTAAATGTTTTTGATGATTGGTCACTGGAAAATCCTATTGCTAGAGTCCAAATGACTAGTAATAGGTGCTTTCCACTTTCAATGGTACCTGCAAAACAGTTGGGATTGAGAGCAAGTGTGACACATAGCTTGCAAATATGGCACAAGAGACTGGGACATCTGAATTACCAAAGCATCAAAGTACTTGAAAATCAAGAAATGGTTCATGCACTACTACAAAAAGGGCAAAAGACGACCAGAAAAAGACGACGGTAGAACAAAAAACCGTCATTGTTTTTAAAAAGACAACGGTAACAAAAAACCGTCGTGGATAAGTGACTTAAACAACTAAAAAATGGAGATACTGTTGAGAATTTTTTTTTAACGACGCACACAAATAAAAAAGCGTCGTCTTATTAAAAAGCTTTTCTTCAGAGTTAAAATCTGACCAAAAAACAACGACAGCAGGTATGACAAGCGTCGTCTTTTAAAAATCAAGTGTCCTTTTTTTGGTAAAGACATGGTTGTTTTGAAAGAACTGTCGTCTATTATATGTAAAGATGACGGTTTTTTTATAAAAAGGGTCGTCTATTATTAAGTAAAGACGACGATTTTTTTATAAAAAAGGTCGTCTATTATGAAGTAAAGACGACCCTTTTTATATGAAAATGGTCGTCTATTATGTGTAAAGACAACCATTTTCATATAAAAAGGTCGTCTATTATATGTAAAGACGACGGTTTTTTTATAAAAAGGGTCGTCTATTATGAAGTAAAGACGACCTTTTTATATGAAAATGGTTGTCTTTACACATAATAGACGACCATTTTCATATAAAAAGCTCGTCTTTACTTCATAATAGACGACCCTTTTCATATAAAAAGGGTCATCTATTATATGTAAAGACGACGGTTTGTTTATAAAACGGGTCGTCTATTATATATAAAGACGACCCTTTTTATATGAAAAGGGTCGTCTATTATGAATTAAAGACGACCCTTTTCATATAAAAAGGGTCGTTTATTATTTGTAAAGATGACGGTTTATATGTAAAGACGACGGTTTTTTTATAAAAAGGGTCGTCTATTATGAAGTAAAGACGACCCTTTTTATATGAAAAGGGTCGTCTATTATATGTAAAGACGACGGTTTTTTTATAAAAAGGGTCGTCTATTATGAAGTAAAAACGACCCTTTTTATTTGAAAAGGGTCGTCTATTATATGTAAAGACAACCCTTTTTATATGAAAAGGGTCGTCTATTATGAAGTAAAGACGACCCTTTTTATATGAAAAGGGTCGTCTATTATGAAGTAAAGACGACCCTTTTTATATGAAAATGGTCGTCTATTATGAATTAAAGACGACCATTTTTATATGAAAAGGGTCGTTTATTATGAATTAAAGACGACCCTTTTCATATAAAAAGGGTCGTCTATTATATGTAAAGATGACGGTTTTTTTAAAAAAAATGGGTCGTCTATTATGAAGTAAAGATGACGGTTTTTTTTTTAAAAAGGTCGTCTATTATATGTAAAGATGACGGTTTGTTTTTAAAAAGGGTCGTCTATTATGAAGTAAAGATGACGATTTTTTTTTAAAAAGGGTCGTCTATTATGAAGTAAAGATGACGGTTTTTTTTAAAAAAGGTCGTCTATTATATGTAAAGATGACGGTTTGTTTTTCAAAAGGGTCGTCTATTGTGAAGTAAACATGACGTTTTTTTAAAAACAAGATTTAACGGTTATTTCAACTATGATTTTGATGATTTTTTACAGCTACACTCCTTGACCCTATATGAATACAATGACTGCATTCGATCGTCAATTTAAAATATTTACAATAGTGGATACCACAAAATCTTATGTTATATTTAATGAAAGTATAAACATATGAATACAATGACTGCATTCGATCGTCAATTTAAAATATTTACACTAGTGGATACCACAAAATCTTATGTTATGTTTAAGGAAAGTATAAATAAACCCTAAATTGTTAGTGAATATATTGTTTTGATGGCATACACATTCTACGAAACTAGTTTCAACGATCCAACCGTCAAACTTGTTTGTTTACAAATCGTGATCATATACGCCAAAAATTGGAAAAAAAAATAAATCAGAGATCAAGTAACGGGACAAAACATTTCGACGGTTATAAACGAAAAATCAAGATTTAACGGTTATTTCAACTCGAATTTTGATGATTTTTACAGCTACACTCCTTGACCTTATATGAATACAATGACTGTATTCGATCCTCAATTTAAAATATTGACACTAGTGGATACCACAAAATCTTATGTTATATTTAATGAAAGTATAAATAATCTCTTAATTGTTAGTGAATATATTGTTTTGATGGCATACGCATTCTACGAAACTAGTTTCAACGATCCAACCGTCAAACTTGTTTGTTTACAAATCGTGATCATATACGCCAAAAATTGGAAAAAAAAATAAATCAGAGATCAAGTAACGGGACAAAACATATCGACGGTTATAAACGAAAAATCAAGATTTAACGGTTATTTCAACTCGAATTTTGATGATTTTTACAGCTACACTCCTTGACCTTATATGAATACAATGACTGCATTCGATCGTCAATTTAAAATATTGACACTAGTGGATACCACAAAATCTTATGTTATATTTAATAAAAGTATAAATAAACTCTAAATTGTTAGTGAATATATTGTTTTGATGGCATACACATTCTACGAAACTAGTTTCAACGATCCAACCGTCAAACTTGTTTGTTTACACATCGAGATCATATACGCCAAAAATCGGAAAAAAAAATAAATCAGAGATCAAGTAACGGGATAAAACATTTCGACGGTTATAAACGAAAAATCAAGATTTAACGGTTATTTCAACTCCGATTTTGATGATTTTTTACATAACGGTTATT